GTCATTTTTAACAAAGGAGGAAGGGCAATACAGTGGAGTAAAGATTGTCTCTTCAGCAGATAGTGCTGAACAACTAGACATCCACATAATGAATGAATGAATGAATGAATGAATGAATGAATGAATGAAACTTACAACCTTTACAAAAACCAACTCGAAATGGATCGCAGACCTAAATGTAAAACCTAAAACTAAAACACTTCTGGAAGATAACATAGGAGAAGACCTACATGACCTTTGGTAGGACAGTGACTTCTTACATACAGCACCAAAGACACAATCCGTGAAATAAAGACTTGATACGCTAGACAATAATTGAAATTAAAATTTTCTGGGGTGCCTGGGTGGCTCAGTCGGGTAAACATCCGATCCGACCTCGGTTCAAGTCATGATCTCACAGCTCATGAGTTCGAGCCCTGCAGCAGGCTCTGTCTCTCTCTCTCTTTCCAAAACAAATAAACATTTAAAAAACTAAATAAAAAAATAGAAATTAAAATTTTCTGCTCTGCAAAAGACTGTCATGCAAAATATAGAGAAAACTTTTAAGACTTAGTAGACAACAGATGACCCCAGGGTTGCAAAACCAATCTTCAGTAATTAGCTGTGTGCCTGTAAGTCAGCAATGAACAATCCACAAAGGAAATTGTGAAAGCAATTTCAATTATAGTAACAGCTAAAAGAATAAAGTTCCTTAGAATAAATTTGACCAAGAAGGTTAAAGACTTGTGTACTGAAAATTACAAAACATTGCTGAAAGATATTAAAGGAGACATAGTAAATGGAAAGACATACTACATTTATGGATAGGATGACTTAATATTGTTTGGATGTCATTGTTACCCAAAGCGATGTACAGGTTCATTACAGTTGCTAGTGAAGTTCCAATAGCCCTTTCTGCAGAAATGGAAAATAGAATCCTAAAATTCATATAGAATTTCAGGTGGCCCCAAGTAGCCAAACAATCATGAAAAAGAAAAATGGAATCGGAGAACTCAAACTTCCCGGTTTCAGAACTTACTACAAAGTTACAGTAACAAAAAGCGTGTGGTACTGGCCTAAGAATAGAAACACAGGCCACTGGAATAGCATGAAGAGCGGAGAAATGAACTCCTGCATCTATGGCCATGTGCTTTTTGACATCATACTAAATCTATTCAATTTATGTGCCAAGACAACTGTATTTCTGCACGCAAAGAAATTTGGATCCCTAGCTCTTGCTGTATAAAACAATTTATTCAAAATGGATCAACCTGAATGTAAGAGCGACAGCCATAAAACTCCTGAGGAAAACACTGGGGTAACTGTTCATGACCATGGCATGGACTCACATAGGTCAGATCAGACGGTATTTGAGACCATATTTTAAAATATGATCATATTCTGAGATACTAGTGGTGGTTAGTGCCTTAACATGAATTTTGGAAGGACACAATTCAACCTTTAACACATGGATTTTTCACTTGAAAGTACAACACAAGCATTTACACTCGTTACGTAACTATCACAAACAATCTTCATGATTATGGAAAAATATCCAGTCATTCAATCCTCTGCTATTAAATATTTATCTTTCACTTTTGCAGTATTACCATGAACGCTTTTGTGCCCTGCTTTTTTAAATATTATTTCTTAGAACGGATACCTAGAAATGAAATTGTCAAATCACTTCGAGGCACTTGGTACGGGCCACAAATTGTTGCAAGTATAAGAGGCATTTCTTGCTTTATTAGTAGATTGTTTATGAATCACTTTTTCTTTGTGAATTATTGCTTTAAGTCATTTGCCTTTTTAATTTTATAGTCTGAATTTTTCTCTTACAGTTCATATAAACCCTTTGCATAGCGAGAAGGCATCTTTCTTAGTTTTTCCACAACTATTTATTAATTTATCATTTGCCCTTTAATTTTGGTCTTGTTCCCTTTTCAAATTACAGGAGATTTGTTCTCATTTTCGTCAGTGTTTCTTTTATTGCTTCAAAGCTTGGCTTATCCTTTGTTCACAGTTTGTTAAGCATGTAATTCTGCCTTTTCCTGCACGTTTCTATTGGGTCTAAAAATATTTAACTCGGCGCCTGGGCGGCTCAGTCGATTAAGCGTCCGACTTCGGCTCAGGTCATGATCTCATGGTTCATGAGTTCGAGCCTCATGTCGGGCTCTGCACTGACAGCTTAGAGCCTGGAGCCTGCTTCAGATTCTGTGTCTCCCTTTCTCTCTCTGCCCCTCCCCTGCTCATGTTCTGCCTCTCTCAAAAATAAATAAAACTTTTAAAAAGAAGATTTATATAGTATGTTTTAATATCTGAAAAGAATATTCTTCTCTCTCTCTCTTTACTCCTTTTTTCCTCCAGGATTTTCTTTGGCATTTTTCCAAGTGTATTTTTCCTATGTACTGGGAACTTTTGTCTCCACCTGCCACCCCTGCGTCATTTCCCGTATTTAATTTTTAAATTATATTTACAAGGAATATAATATGATAAATATTAAGTACATATGCATTTAATCTTTTCTTTCACGTAGTTGGTATTTTTCTATATTGTTTCAAGTCTTCTTTAAGGTCTGTTATAAAGACTTGTCCTTTCTTCATGTAATATTCAGATAAATTACTCACTATTGTTATTCCTCACGTGTGTGTATTCGACTCTGATCATTTTTGTTTGATTGTTTTTAAAACAGTGAAATTTTTTGCTGTGTTTTATTCTTGCTCATTCCACTCTCCAGAAGTGCTGCTGATTTGTGTTTATCTTACATGCAGTTGCTTTACTCAGCTTTAGCAGTTCTGCCACTTTTTAATGGATTTATTTACATTTTCTGGGCGAACAATTATATGGAAATTATAGTGGTTTTATCACTTTCCTTTCTAATAGTTTCTTGTGACCGTTGCACACATTCCTTGGTCAAATAGAATATTTAAAAACTACTACATAAGAGATCATGGAAGGCACCCTTTCCGTTATTATTATTTCTAAATCTTTGTATTTCTGGTGCTTCACCAGTAGGTATTACTTTGTCTGATAGCTGAAAAGGGGGCAGTTTAGGTAGGAGAATTACTTTATTGTTTTTTGTTTTATCATGGGACTTGGGGTGGTATTTGCAATTGGTATTGGATTTTATCAAATACATTTGGGCATGGGTACCTACTGAGATTATTATATGGGTTTATTTTAATGGAATCCATTAAAGTAATGCAATTTTTTTGCATTTACTAATAAATTTACTAATATTAAATTACCTTTAATACCTGCAAGAAGACGTGTTCTTTTGTGGTAGATAGTGTCTTTTTTATATACGGTTTCATTTCATCAGCATTAAAAAAATTTTTTTGTAATATTTACATATTTTGGGGAGAGAGAGAAAGAGAGAGAACATGAGCATGGGAGAGGCAGAGAGAGAGACAGAACCCAAAGCAGGCTCCAGGCTCTGAGCTGTCAGCACAGAGCCCGACCCGGGCTCGAACTCACAGACCGTGAGATCGTGACCTGAGCCGAAGTTCGGACTCTCGACCAACCAACTGAGCCACCCAGGCACCCCTACTTCATTGGCATTTGGTTTGATTTTTTTTTTTTTTTTCCCTGACATCCTTATCAACAAGTGACTTGAGCCCATGACTTTCTTTGGTGGTATCTTTGGTAGGTTTTGATGTCAGGGTAGTTTTTGCTCGAAACTTCAGCGCGTGCTGCTGCTCTGCCAACAGCAAACTGTACGAAACAGAGCAGCAGACCGAAATGTTCTTGAGGGGACTCTGAAAATGAAGAGGTAAGCGGCCAGTGCCGCAGATGTCAATCTCGGCATAGTTTTTGCGGAGATGCGTACGCACCAGGATCTGACTTGCTGCGGCTCTTCCCAGTTTCCCCAGCGCGGTGTGCGCCAGGCTGCCCCCAGAAACTGCTGGAATCTGGGTCTTGCGTGTGGGAGGCACGCACGGCATGAGTAGTTTTGTAGTAAACGGTTAAATATTCCAGTGGATACCCCAGAGACATTTCTCCCACCCAGTGGATGTCTTTCGTTTTGTGTTTTTGGGTTTTTTTTTGAAAAAAAGGTAGGTATCTCAAATGTGAAGAAGTTAGGATAGTTTTCTTTCAACTTTAAATCAACTACTGTTCACAGTTTTTCTGCCCTTAATACTGTTTTCAAAAACAAGAGACACTGTCCTCTGGGGCATGATTCCCTGCTGTCACTAAACGTACACCCGTAGGTCCTTTGGGTTTTAAAAGGTTTATTGTTGAACACCTGGGAGAATAGATAGCTTATAACCAAGTCGTAGAAAAGTTACAAAGCTCAGGAGGTCTTAAACAATCATCATCTCTGTTTTCTTTACCCTTTAGCCACCGTCCGGAAGAAGCTTTGGACTTTGCATTTTCCTTTCACCTTATTACTGAAAAGACATTTCATCCTAATTTCTAAAAGGGTGGCTTTTGGCTAAATTTCTCATCCCTAATGCCCTACCTAAATGCCAAGAGACTGTCATTTTTTCCAGTGGTTGTGAAGATGTTTGATTAGACCTTTGTCCTTCTCCCTGGACCATTGGAGAAGCCCCTCTCTCTCCTTTGTGTACATTCTAGCTTTGTCATTCCCTTCCCCAGGTTTGTCTCTTCTAAAGACATTTGCATATTCATAATCCTTTATTGGTTCCACATCAGAAATGAGCCGTGGTTAGATTTTTCTCTCACTCCATACACCAGCAATAATTGTGTATAAATTAGAAATTTAAATATCAGCAAATAACTATATAAGTGCCAACGGAAGTTACAGATAAATATATAATCTCGGTAGGAAGAAGGCTGTAAAATACGACAACAATAAGGGAATATATATACGGAGAACAATATTTGCAACATAAGGCTGGCAAAAGGTTGATAGCCTTAATAAAGAAAGTTGTTTTATGTGATGATGTACAAAAGTAACATTCAGTTGTATGAACAGTTCTTTGCATTACAGAAAGACGTTATAATTGGCATTTTGTTATTCATATAGATGAACCAATTTTTTGTTATTACTTCTATAGCAAAAACAAATTAGTTACTCACCAGGACTGTGCAGCATAGAACATCAGCAAGAGATCACCAAACTAAAGACTGATTTAGAAAAGAAAAGTATCTTTTATGAAGAAGAATTGTCTAAAAGAGAAGGAATACACGCCAATGAAATTAAAAACCTGAAGAAAGAACTTCATGATTCAGAAGGCCAGCAACTTGCTCTCAACAAGGAAATTTTGATTTTGAAAGACAAATTGGAAAAAAACAGGAGAGAGAGGTAAGCATCGCGTTATCTACCCCTCCTGTCAGTATCTGGTGAATGCCTGCGGTGTGCCAGGGACCGGAGGTACGCAGGCAGTACACGTATCCCAAAGTCCAGATTAGTCACCCGAGGATGACGGGGGTCGGGAAACCAGCGGGATGGTGTAAGTGTGAGCAGAAGGGCAGGTGCAGCCCTCGCAGAGGCACGGGAGGTAACTTTGGTATGTCTAGGTTTTTTGGACTAAATTCTAGCCAAGACCAAAGAAATAGAAAATATCGAACTGTGGAAGGGAGTCCATTAAGTGCCAAGATGGAGAGGGAAAGGGGAACAGGGCACGTTCCGAAGATGAAGGCTGTTCCCTACGGTGGAGCCACAGATGAGAGGGTGAGAAGCGGGGCTGGAGAGGGAAGTGGAGGCAAGGTCACAAAGGAGGAAGGAATTTGGACTTCGTGCCGAGGCCATTGAAGGCAGGTGACAGGGCGGTACTCGTGGTCCCGTGTGGAGTGGGACAGGCGGGAGCAGATGGCAAGGAGGAACCTGGCAGCGAGAGATGAGCAGGACCGCAGGTGCTGACCGGGCAGGTGGGGGGAAGCGTGTGGGCTCAGAAGGTCCCGGAGAGCCAGAACCTGGGTGCCATGACAGCCAGGTGTGAGAAAGTGCCAGGATTTTAGGCAGCCGGATGTGTGCTGTTGTCATTCTCAACTTCTGTTGGAAGCCAAAGTTTATTTAGTTTGGTACATTCGCTCAGCCAGACTTTTTTAGAACCTGCGGTGGGTAAAGCAGTGTTGTAGGCACTGGGAACGTGGCAGTGGACAGACAGACAAATCTCTGTCCGTATGGAGCTTTCCTTTAGCCAGGTGAAGGGCTGTAAACAAAATAAGTAAAATATAGAATATGTTAGGTAATGATAAATGCCAGGAACAGAACATAAGGCACAGGATGGGGCCATGAGGCATTAAGGGGGCAATTAAATTGTGTATATAGGCTGGTCTGGAAAAATTGCGATGAGAAGGACTGAAGAAAGTGGGGGCATCTGTGCAGATGTAGAAGAACATTCTATGTGGAGAACAGCCTGTTAAAAAAAATAATGAGAAGGCAATACTGTGGAGACAGTAAAAAGATGAGTGGGTGCCAGGGATTGGGGGAGGGGGGCGGATGTGATGTCCAGGAGGACGCCAGGGCAGGATGTCCAGGGCAGTCTCTTGGTGTGATGCTACAGTGATGGGTACGTGCCGTTACGCACGTGTCCAAACCCTAACGTGAGCTGTGGAGTTGGAGTGATAATGACCTGCCAGATGTAAGTTCGCTAACTGTAACAAATGTTCCACTCTGGTGGGGGATGATGTTGTGGGGGCTGTACCGTGTTTGGGGGCGGGGAGTAGGTGGGAAATCTCTGCTATGGACCTAAAACTTTTCTAAAAAATAAAGTCTATTAAGAAAAATAGTTTAAGGAGGCCAGTGTGGCCGAAGTAGACTTAAGGGGAAAGAATCATAGGAGAGGAGTATGAGGGGGAACAGGGGCCAGATCATGTAAGGCTCTATAGCAGGTCACTTCTGGTTATTTACTCTGAGGAAAACTGATGCGGGGAGTACCGCAGGATTTTGAGTGGAAAATTGAGATATTGGGTTGTGTTTTAAAAGGGTTACTCTGACTACCTGGTTAAGAATAGTCTGACTTAGGGGCACCCGGGTGGCTCAGTCGGTTAGGCATCTGACATCAGCTCAGGTCATGATCTCATGGCTCGTGAGTTCAAGCCTCACATCAGGCTCTGAGCTGTCAGCACAGAGCCTGCTTCAGATCCTCTGTCTCCTTCTCTTTCTGCCCCTCCCCTCTCCTCTCCTCTCCTCTCCTCTCCTCTCCTCTCCTCTCCTCTCCTCTCTCTCTCTTTCCCTCAAAAATAAACAAACATTAAAAAAAAAAAAAAAAAGTCTGACTTCGATAAGAGGAGAAAAGCCCTGAACTCCTGTAGAAGGCTGTCACAGAAATCCGGGCAAAGGAGGGTGGTGACTTGGCCCAGGGTGGGGGCAGAAGTGGTGGTAAGAAACATTGGAATTCGTGTGCTCCTGAACAGTAAAGATACTGGGTTTTGTTGATGGTTTAGACGTGGGATGAGAGGGAAGAGGAAGGACCAAGGATGGTGCTGAGGTTTGGGGCTTTAGCAATTGGGAGGATGTAGTTATCGTTTAGAAAGGAACAGGGCAAGGGAAGCATGTTGGGGATGAGAGTATTACCGGGAGTTCATTTTAAACAAGTTCCGTTTGAGATGTGTATTAGGCACCCACGTGGAGATGTCACACAGGCCGTTGGACGGATCAGCCGGATTTTCAGGCTAGAAATAAAATCCTAGGAGTATTAGATCACTCACATGGTATTTAAAGCAGTGAGACTAGTTGAGATCCCTTAGCAGTTGGTGTAGATGGCACAAAGGTCCGGCACTGAGCCCTGGCGTGCTCTGATCTTTGGAAGTTGGTTAATGAGGAGGAAACAGCAAAGTGGCCAGCAAGGACGATGGGAAGAAGACCTAACAAATTTGGTGTCCTGGAGACCATGTGATGAAAGCATATCGAGTCTGTCTTCTATACGTTAAACAAGATGAGGTATGAATTAAGTAAGATGAGGCCCAAACAATGATCATTGAATTTAACATTAGGAAGCTCGTTGTAACTCTGATAAGAACAATTTCCGTGGAACAGGAGGGGCAAAAACCCCACAGCGGGAACCAAGACTAGGAGGAGAGCGATTGGAACCAGAAATGTGGGACAACAGGGTTTTGAGGCGGTGGCGCGGCAGATGCCAGATTCTGTGTGGTGAGAAGCAGCCAGGCGATGAGGAAGGGATACAGCGGACTCAGGGATTCCGGGCGGCTCCCATGAGCGAGAAGGCAGAGAATTGGAAAATGAAATGCGATCTAGGGCTTAGGGGAGACTGTTCATTCTGTTCTCTTATGGAAGAGACTCCTGCTCTGTTTCGTGCTGGTGGGAAAAAGCAAGAATAATTTCACAGAAATTTTACTCCGTTTATCTGTGTACACATTTTTTCTGAAAGGCCTCTTTGTATTTTGTCATGTTTTTGTCATTGTTCGTTGCTTGGAGTTACTTCTGAATCAAGAAAGATCCTTAAACGTGACTGAATTTCATATTTTGACTATAGATAATTTTTTAACATGGCATATTTGCTTGCACACAAGCAAAAATGGTTTCTTTTCCCAGAAGTTAGCATTTAAATTACAATTTCATTTACACTCACTAATGTAGTAATGGAAGGGATTTTTAACATCACATTTTTAAAATCAGCCGGTACGTAGGTTCTCGGTTGACTCGGGATCAGTCATAGGAAATTACCCAGAATAGATCCATATTGACTTTCATTTATTGCTAAGATATAAAGCGTTCCTTACAAATTTTTTTATTAAGTATAAGTTGACACTTATACTCAAGTGTTACATTTCTTTCAGGCGTACAGCACAGCGATTCAACTTCTCTGTCGGTTACTCTGTGTTCCCCACAAGTGTAACTGCCATCTGTCACCTCACAGCAGCGTTCCAGTATCACTGTATTCCCTGTGCTGTGCCCTTTATTTCTTTATCTTATTCATTCCATAAGTGGAAGCCTGTACCCCCCACCCTGCTTCCCTCACCCGCTCCCCTCTGGAAGCCATGTTTGTTCTCTGTTTTTATAGGTCTCATTCTGCTTTTCATTTGTTTGTTTATTCATTTTGTTTTTTAGATGGTACATATGAGTGAAATCATATGGTATTTGTCTTTCTCAGTTTGGCTTCTCTCACTTAACGTGATTCCCTCTAGGTCCACCTGTGTTACCACAAATGGCAAGACCTCGTCCCTTTTTACGGCTGTGTAATATTCCATCGTGTGTATACACATCTTCTTTATCCATTTGTCCATTGACGCACACTTAAGTTGCTTCCGTATCTTGGCTTTGTAAATGATGCTGCAGTAAACATAAGGGTGCATATATCTTTTCAAATTAGTGTTTTCATTTTCTGTAGGTAAATAGTGGAATTCCTGGATCACACGGTATATCTATTTTTAATTTTTTTGAGGGACCTCCATACTGTTTTCCACAGTGGCTGCACCAGTTGCATTCCCACCAACAGTGCACAAGGATCCCCTTTTTTACACATCCTTGCCAACACTTACTTGTTTCTCTGATTTTAGCCATTCTGACAGGTGCAAGGTGATATGTCTTGGGGTTTTGATTTGCACTTCCCTGATGGTGAATGATGTTGAGCATCTTCTCACGTGTCTGTTGACTATCTGGATGTCTTCTTTGGAAAAATGTCTATTCAGGTCCTCTTCTCCTTTGTTTTTTGTTGTTGAATTATGTAAGTTCTTTATATGTTTTGGATATTAACCCCATATCAGACACATCATTTGGAAATATCTTCTCCCACTTAGTAGGTTGCCTTTTCATGTTGATGATGGTTTCCTTCACTGTGCAAAAGTTTTGTTTTTTTTTTTTATTTTGATGTAGCCCCAACAGTTTATTTTTGCTTTCATTTCCCTTTCTTAGGAGACATATCTAGAAAAATGCTGCAATGGCCAGTCAGTGTCAGAGAAAGTACTGCCTGTGCTCTCTGTTAGTATTTTTGTCAGGTCTCACCTTGATGGTTTGTTTGTGTGTAGGGTGTGAGAAAGTGGCCCAGTTTCATTCTTTTGCATGCAGCTGTCCAGTTTTCCCAGCACCATTTATTGAAGAGACCTTCTTTTCCCCATTGTATGTTCTTGCCTCCTTTGTCATAGATTAATT